AAACGCTAATTAATAAATATATATATATAATAAATAAACATTCTTTATTTTATTTATATATATTTATATTAAATAATGATTGTACCAAAATTTCTCCTCTTTTTGTACTAAAATGCCTATTTATAGAAGATGCATATGTAGAATACAAACGAGAGAAAACTCAGCCCAACAGTGAACACAATTACGTATAAATTCTAGCAACCCCTCAAAAACTTAAAAAATCCGTCTTTTGCGGATTTATTGAATTTTTGTTAAATCATTCTAATGTCTGATCAAGAGAATTCGCAACAGCCTGCTCAGGATGTTTCCATCCCAGTAGAATTTTCTACTGAGAATGATGCAAAAGATAAAGAGGAGGAATTGAAAAATGGCTCTTCTAGTATAGTTGAAAAAAGCGCCGTAATTGATGATCTTCCATCATACGAACTTGCATCGACCGACGTTACTCCGGCATATTCGGTATCTGATCCTTCTAAACAACATTCTGATCCTTCAGCTGTTGCATCAACACGTAAAGTTTCTCTCTTGTAATATATTGTAGTATATAATAAATGATTCATGAAACTTATCAATTTGGTTTTTGTGACATGTATAGCACAACGAAGAGGTGTTTCTAGATTTGCTAGATGTTGTTGTCTTCTTTCATCGTTAATAGCAATATCAATTATATTAGCAGTAACTTGAATTTTTGGATTTTGTTTACGGTTTTTTTTTTTCATTATGTTTACCTTACTCTTTTTGATTGAACAGGTAATTTCTAAAACAAATAGAAATACATGCAATAGTCTTAACCCAGGTGCTACTACTCCCAATATTTCATCTTATGATCCAAATGTTTTTACTTCATTTACTATGGATTCATCCGATACTGCTACTCAGGTTTGTGTTTTTATATTTACTCATTTTGAAGCTATTTTGAAGCTATAATAACGTGTAATTTATTTAATTATCTCTCTTCAAATAGAATGATGGCTTTTTGAGTCTTCGGACTTCTCAAAATCCTTCTCCTGATGTAACAAATGTCACAATAAATACCTATGTTGCTTCTCCTAAACAAGGAAACGTGTACGTTACTGATGACCCTTCAAATTCCAATTACAAATTATCATTTGTATGTACATTTCTCTATAATTCAAACTTTAAATTTTCTTTTTAATTCATCTTAATTATTATTGTAACTATTACTTTAATTATTTAATTAGCATCAGAAATCAGCTTCAAACAGTCTCTTTAATATCTTTGGCCCGCCTGACTCTTGTTTCCGTGCTCATGTAGACCTAATCTTGCCACAATCAAGCTCTTCTATGGCTATCGGTGTTGATAACTTTGATGTTATTCTTGGGAATTTGTCTTATCAATTTATCAGCGTTCACACAACTACTGGTGATATCAATCTTAATAGATTTAACGTTACAAGCGCAACTTTATATTCAGAAAATGCTTCTATCTATGGAAGAATAGTATCTCTTTCAAATACTCTTATCGTTAATCAAACTTCCAATGGTGATATCAGTTTAACTATCAATATTGCAAACGCTACCAGTCCCAAAATCTATATAAACGCAAATCGCGGTAGGGTGAGATTACGTTTGGTAAGTTCGTTACTTAATTTATCGTTTACTAATTCGCAGTTCAATAATTTCTTGTTTTATTTTACATAGAGCAATACTTTTGCTGGAACATATAATGTAATGACAAGCGGCAGGGCATTGTTTAACATAAATAGGAAAAAAACCAATTTACCATCACAAGGTTCATTTGGCAATGGTACTGGGTTATTGGAAGTGATATCTAATAATGACGTTATAATTGGCTTCTAACAGGTTGATGAGTCAATAAATTAATGGACAAATGATGAATTTATTAATGAATTGTGTACTA